GAGACGCTTCCGCTCGTTCGCTCAATACAATACCCACCCCAGCATATCCAGCTGCAGCGGCCTCTGCATCACCAGAGGTGCACAGTTGGAACCTGGAAGAGCGAGGAGGTAGTCAGTTCGATTACAGTACTTACGTCCTGAGTCCTTGATTCTGACAGACAACATACATCAATACAGAGGGAATCCAGCGTACGCGCAAGAGCCACCTGTTGACCTGCTTGTTTCAGTGTGCGAACATTGAAAGTGGCTAAGTAGACAGGCTTTCGGGGTTTGAAAACAGACTTCGAAGTGTTTAGGGTTGTAACTGAACTCGGACGTGCAGAAGCTGCAGCTGAGTGTGATGCAGGGCGAGCATAACGGTCAGACCTAGAGCTGGGACCTGCGGATAAAGTATTCAAATTTGGGCGGGGGAGGGTGGAAGACGGAAAACGTGAAAGTGTAAGAAGGGAGGCGTCAGCAGTAGCATGTTTTCGCTTACCCGCCCTGCTGTATGCAGCAAGTAAGGCGACCCGGCTGATGGCACCACGCGACGGCCGATGTGGCATGAGAATATTGTTAGTTGTGTAGGTCATGGTTGTACGAGGGCTGGGATACTGCCAGGGCGCCCACACCTAGACAGGAGGACGATTAGGGTCCTCAACCAAAGCCTTTGGCTCAAAAGCCTAACCGCAAGGCAGCGGTGTATTAGTGCACAGGTGGCGATAGCCATAATACAAATCAGAAGGTGAATGCAAATTCATTACCTTTTCTACGGAACAAGTCGCCAAACATGTTCCAACCCGCAACCTGGAGGGCCAGGAGACTGTTTTCGTCAGACCTCTAACCATTGACCAACCTGGTATGAGAGACTCTGCGAGTGTCGCGCGGGCACCCTCCAGTATAGCTCAATGGGTCTCCGAGGTACACAAACCGCCACACCACGGTAAGGTCCAGTTTCTTCGTGACGGACCGCTAATACTAGACCTCTTAGTTTCATGAAATGTCCCCCCAATCATCTGGAATGTTTGAGAAATGCGTAAGTGCGTTTGGCTACAGCCAATAGGGATGGTCGCTTTTGGCAGATGCATGTGTCAGATGCAAGCTACAACATCACATGATGCTACTTGGGATAGCCGAAACAAACAGAACCCTTAAAGTCAAGTAAGGGCCACTCAGGCATCTCTGCAGTAATGCGATAACCACATCAAACACAACCTCCTAGAGGTGAAAGAGCGGTAAATCGAGTGTGCAAATTTTCGCTGGTATCACATGTTTTTCAGGCGGGTACTTAGTGACTACGCGTTCGTAAGCGTATAAAGAAGCGCGTGCCCTTTAAATTAGAGTGAAGTATCTACTAATAAAACTTGGTAACACGGAAGGGGTGTAATAATAGTAATCTCTCAGCTGTGGTACTCTTGGCGCAGAGCTGCCATGCCTCCCAAAGGAAGCAAGATGGCTGAGATACTGCCGGATTGTCAAAACCAGTGGGGCTGCTACATGACATAAACAAATGGGGTTGGAGACCGCACACAAGCCAAGACTTAGAAGGTAAACGGCTCGAGTTCATCTGAAACTATCGATTATATGGGCCAAGTCTACTTAGTACCTGAAGGCAGTCGTGCTGTCGGTGTCGTGGCTGTCATGCACGGATGGCACAATAAATAGTTCAACTACTGCTACCAGTAATGAGGATATCGTTATCAGTAAGACGTCGTAAAAAAAACTTACGTCGATCCTTTCGAGCATTTCGGAGAGTGGAATCCGTCGTCCGTAGACCAGCATGTGACGTCCAATCTCCTCACAGATTGGTGTGGTTCCGTCCAGTTGCAACAGTAAGTGGGTCTTCAGTTGGTTCTTTGCTCGTTCAATTTCATGAGGTGTGATTTGAGTGCACATACGAACAAACTCCTTCATGAAAGCGTTCACGCCCTCCGCAAGTCCCATCTTTTCAGCTGTCAAATAAACACCCCTTGGAAAACACAGGAAAAAGATTAGTGTTACAAGGGCTGGTGAATGACGGATTGAAAGGAGCGAGTGGACTTTTAGAAGATGAAAGGTGAACCGGTGCGTCGAAATTTGGTAGCTCCGCTGGGCTTATTGGTTACTGATCGAAAGGATATTGATCTGCCCACCGAGTTCCTTCATTAACTTGGAAGCGTTTTGTCACCAAAAGAGGAAACCTCATCAGTACGCACCATTCCGGTTTAAAGCTATCCAAGGGAATTTTCTGTCCTGCAGCATTAAGGCGTGAACTACCCCAAAAATTACTGATCTTCAGCTCAATGCGGCTTCTCATGGTGTTGAAAGATTTGAAACACACTTTGTGGATAATACTAAAGGTCCTCCAAAAAAGATACTGATCAGTTCTAGCAATTTAGGTTACAGCAAGTGCAAGTGAACCAAAAAATGGCACTCCATGGGGGGTCATCAGTTGAAATTCCGAATCACAACAATGACGTAGTTGAAGAAGAAAATTGAAAGATAACAGTCTTGCCTGAGATCACTTGATGTGGCGAAGTCAGGAGAGAGCTTCCCGTAAACCTTCACACGTCCGCGGATGGCGCAGTCCCTCAACAAGGCTCGAGAATTTATGTGGAACCCTTTGCATCATAGACAGTGCCATAATGCCTGACGGTCCACAAAGTCAAAGGTAGGTTTCAAGTCAAGGAAGATAACCATCGTCGGTCGTTGGAAGCAGTGTCGCTGTTCTAGCATCTGTCGGAGGGTGAAATTATGATCGACGCATGCTCTTCAAAGAAAGAACCCAGCATGGTTTTCACGGATCCGTCGCTCCTTGCGTTCAGTCAACCCTTGAAGAATAAGAGCAGAGCGCAGCCTCGATGCCACAGTGCTTCCACACAATGTCCGCGTACCCTGTTTGAAGATAGAAATAACTGTTGGCATGCCCCATTCTGCAGGCACTCTCCCTTCGCTCCATGTCGCGCGAATGAGCTGACAGATAGGTCACCAGGGATTCTCTGCCTCCTTCTCTGCATGTCACCTGCATACTCCAGATCGACAAGGCTTTCCTCACAGGCTATTTGAACACCAGGGTTTTGGAGACCCTCCAGCGTTCGTCTAATTATCTCATCGATCACGAAGTTAAAAAGGAATAGAGAGAAAGGGCATCCCTGAAGGACACTGCTTTGTGTATGGAAGCTTTTGGAGAGCTCTCCGTACGCCCTTACACGTCCAGAAGTCTGATAATACAAAGAACGTATTATGTTTGCAAACACACTACTCTTACAGTAAACAGAAAACGATGAAGCTTACATAGTACATAAACTCTGCACTCTAGAACTACCTGACGTCAAATTACGGATCCATTGAGAGCGTGGAACGAACTATGGCGTGCCATTCGAAGCTACAGACATCCAATAACAGATCAGTACTTACCATAATGAAGTGTCATGATAACAAGTGAAGAAGTGCTGAAAACTGTGCACTGAGTCTTCATTGAAGAACTGAGCGGCCAACTTGCTCGCAACGTTTGCTCCACCACCGTAACTGCGGTCCCAGGCTCCATGTATGCTACTAGCCACCATCAACGCCAATGTGTCCGGGTTGGCCCAACCGGGTCCTTCGAATGCGATCGCAGCATGTGCCAGTGGCATTGCGTCATCACGATCTCTGATTTCAGAACCGGTGAAGCGACATGGGTCCAGATTTGGAGTCCCTTCACCTTCGAAATATGACGCAGGGACGTCTCCAAAGTTCTTTTCAGCTAACTCAGCGAGTTGTGAATGATCAACACCTAAAAAACATCAAAAAGCCAAATCACGACGAACCTCCAGCAGCACAGAGGACCATCCGAGGAGCCTTGTAATTGCATTTAATGAAGTTCTTTAGGTCAGCGGCTTTGAGAGATTTGACATTTTCCACTGGTCCCAGGATAGTGCGCCCAAGTGGCGTACCTTGATAGGCCGTTGCATGAAGGTAGTCGAAGATTACTTCCTGGTAGTTACTTTCGATTTCCTGAAGCACACGTAGACGGCGCTGAACGACTCACCTCCATTTCCCTCAGAATAACACCTCTCTCTCGCTCGACTTGTGTCGATTCAAACTTGCTATTTTTTAAGATATCGGATAAAAGTTCAACCGCTGTGGAAAAAGGTTAGCACGAAAGCCCCACAAACCCCATGGGAGATCTTGGGTGAAGCACTTCGCATAATAAACCGTCATCTCACGGGAAGTATATGCATTAAGGTGAGCTCCTTTGTTTTCTACTTCCAATTCCAGTGAATGTTGTGTACGTTTATCGGTGCCTTTGAATGCCATATGCTCAAGGAAATGAGCGACACCGTTGTTCGCTTCAGACTCACACCGACTACCCACGTCAACCCATATACCAACCTATCCGCCATAATAACTACTTCAGAGCTTACGGTGCATGTTGGGGTATTCCAGTTCTCTGACGCCACTCGGAAGCCGTTATTCTTTAAAGTCGTGACCTGCGTTGCGGGCATGTGCGCAGGGTTAAACTTGAGTCCATAGCTAGTAGCGGTTCCAATAAGTCTGTTGTGGGCCTAAAAATGTCATTTATCATCCAAATAACTACATACTGAGGGGAAAACAACTGAGCGACAACGAGAGAGTGCCCGGAACGCCATCGGGGAGGTAGCAAAGGACAAAATATAGAGAGTGGGCGGGCCTCGGAACATTCCGCCCTGTCATTGGTTCACCATTCGCCATCGCATTCTTCTCCTTCATTGGTAGTTAGATAGCACCGGAGGTAATTCATGTGTAAGCCTGTTTGCATTTATATGCGATTAAATTTCCAATTCGACACCCAACCCTGGAGGCTTGGGAAGAAGCCTCTTGCCTGTGCATCAACTCGTGACCCGTTAGAACGGAGACTAATGATGAAATAGTGGTAAGAATTATGGTCCTCAGCGCGAATCGCGAAGCATATTGGGTCCTATTCCCAACCACATACGGGCAATATTAGCCCTCATCTCCCGACCAGGCAAGCGTTTTAAAGATCTGTTTGGCGCAAACCGAGCCTACATCCTCATCATATTGCGCTTGGTGTTATCAGTAGTATATTAACACCTCTTTAACCCTGACCACTGCGGTCGTGCAAGTCCTGAAGCACCGCCCCCCCCCCCAAGCAGCTATCACTTAAGTCACTTGCGGCTAATCCTCCCGTTCTATCCTGGACCCTCAACGGTATGCCCCAGTTTTTTCAGCTCAACCGAGTCCATCAACTCGCCGCCAGGCAGCCCACTCAGGTAGCGCTTTCCCTTAGCTTCCAAGGGCTTATACGCAGACACACAGGAGCGATACATTTCTCCAAACTTGCCTGGTCAGGTTTGTTCCCTCGCTTGGGTGGCCATGGTTGAACCGAAAGTGGTTTGAACTAAAGTCAAAGTGCTGCGTATTCATCTGCGACAGAAAGGTCATTCCACGAGCCGCACCAAAAATAAGGAAGACCTGCCGCCCGGTAAACATGAGCGTTTTAAAATAAGACATTTAATGATAATATCCCCATGGTGCATAACTGGAATCGATGGTCAAAGCCTATCAGTCAATCCTCTCTCAAGCAAGAGTTGAGCATCAAGTACCCTGAAAGGTGACATTAGTTCAGGGAAAAGGGAATCAGGGAGCTCCGGAAGTATTAGCTATCCACTGACATAGAGACAGAAGGCATCTTTTCCAAAGCTGGTGAAGCAGTCTCAAAATGTACCCACAACGTGGACATTTTCTGCCAGAGCTAAACAAAGCCTTGCAACATAGCTCATGCACCCAGCATTTCGGCGCACTCACAAGATATCGAGGAGGCAACTACCATCCTTATAAGTGACATTTAAGGCAACAATGGAACATAGTAACCTCTGAACTCTGACGGCTGACTGTGCTACCAAACAAGGAACCCAGAATCTCATACATGCGGTCAGGGTTTCCACGGTGAACATTATTCTCAGTAGTTGGCATTGATCCAAGACAACGCCAACAGGGAAGAGGTTCATGACAATTTTTCAAAGAATTAAAACAGTTGATGTCTCGTTTATTCTGAGGAATCCAGATCTCTTCTTGAAGTGAATTTCAAGCTATTCCTCAAATGATTAAACACCACGGGCTCCGAAGGCGAGACTGTATTTCCTCAAATGCCAAATCGCCATTAATTCTAGATGCAGGAACTGAAATAAACACACCTGTCCAGAGCACTACACCTCGCAAACGAAACTGAACGATGATCCTTGATGCGCGAAACGGTGTAGAATGCTCGGACTGGTCGGCCTTTTTCTCGTGGACCGGAGATGCAAAACATTCGATTGGCGTTTGAAGCTCACGAAGTGCACTGTTGAGAAATATAATCTGCCTCAACGGCGTCGTTACATCCGAAACCGGCAAGGCAATGTTATGATCAGCCCTAACCGGATAGTTACCTACAAATTTGATGTTCCTAAACTATTACTAGTGATAATAACAATCATAATAATGTTTATTCCCAGTTGGTGGGTGGCATACCGTCAGGCAGATCAACGGCACAACTGGCACAAGATGAACCCCTTCAGCGCGCTGGGGCCAAATGACATGAATTCAAGGATCTGAAAAAAATCTACTTAGTTAGGCGAAGCATGTCCATCTAGCGTTTCGCCAGCCCCGCGGCGATGGGCACTTCATTTTTGCCTGCAAAGAAGCGGTTGTTAGACATCTCCACAAAGCTGTTGAGCATCTCCAGGCAGCACGGATGAAGTAGCCTCGTGACTGTACCTCTTAAGCCACCTTGGGCGCGACCATGACAAACATCAGTGCTCTGCACTGACACTTTGCTTACTACAAACTTGACTTGTCTCCAAGCCTTATTGCGAAGGAAAGAGTAATTTGTGTGGATGCGGACTTGTGCTAGACCGCCCCAATCATTGCGAGGTGTCAACAACGCTACGCGCCCGTTGTGGCAAGCTTGATGAAAGCTGACAGAATGTCACTGACATCAATTTCCAGCCATAGCTACAAGCTTCCACAGCTAGATACAACGGAAGACGACTCCTATCCACACCACTCATACTCTGCAATTACGGTCACACCCCTGTACCAAACAAAAATTTGGCCACCTTTCTGCTCTTGCCACACATGATTTGGGCGCGAAAAACGGTAGTTTCCGCCAACTGCTTGGCGTGCGCAAGTAATTCCTTACTGTCGTAGGTTCTACTGCTGGTTACAACGCTCACTGAAGGTCCCAGGTGCACAAACGAACACTCGCGTTCCAGTTGTCTCGCTATGAATTCCCGAGCCCTGGTTGGATCAGCTAGACTGCTGTGACGACGGTATTCCAGGATCTGGAGGACTTTCATATTGACTACTCGAAAAGCGCACTTCGCAGCCACGCACATGGCCCTACCGTGGTCTGTTACACATGGTCCCTGAGATTCAAGTGTACATACACGTGTGTCTCAAAATGGAAATCCGGCTTGAAACTTTTAGACTTGCTGTTCCCAACTACTCTACTACAGTTGGCAATACTGCATCTCCTGGGACACGTAAGACGCACTACAACCCCGAGTGTTTCTTCCTCGGTTATAAGATGCGTGCTAAATGGCCGCAATAGGAATTTGTGGGTGCAAAGTCAATAGCTAAGGGTCATTTCATTCATTAGTACATGCCACTTTTATTCGGTTAAGAGTATGGTGTCGTTTGCGTGCACCGAATCTACAGGGTTATCTTCAGCTGGTGCGACAAAGATTCCTCTTAAACCGCTCTTACGTAATTAACTCGATGGTGGTCAAGGCCAGCTTGATAGGATCCTCATACGGGCTGGTATATTTTTTGTCCTTCTGAAGTAATTCATCCAGTTTTCCATAATGTGCTGCCACACAAATTTTAATTTCGTTAGACTTGAGAAGTGAGTTTGCGCTTTGTCGAGGCCTTCTCAATTAGGGTGCTTCATGTGGGGACAATATCAATCTAAGCTTCTCCTCCGGTTATCTGAAATAGATTTTCTCAAAGCCCCTTAAGAAAATTAATCCTCTCCCTGGTCTACATTGTTGACGTTCCGGATGCGCTTCCAAGGTTATGTGAATTTTGCGGACGATTTAAATATGTTCTATTGGTAGTGAATTACGAATAGATGGCAGAGCCACAAAGAAGTCACTGAGCGGCACATTCCTATGAGTGAGGAAAAATTTTGGTTGTCCTTCAGAAGAGTGTCAGCACTCTCCTTCCTGGAACTTGGCGACAATGGACTAGAACAGTTTGGGAGGCTAGATACCGAAGGAATTCAGGAACCTGGAGCTCTTCTAGATCTTTCCATATCTTAACACCAAGAAAATTAGCTCGGCGGCAATGTTTTGCGCACCCTCCTTTTATTACTTACGTGAACGTCCAGATTCTCTGTAAAGCCTGCGTCAGGCAAGTTCTTGAATACACAGGTTAGCAACAATATTTATTCTCAACTTGTGGGTGGCATACCGTCAGGCATGATCATATGTTTACAGTCGGAATGAAGCATGACCGAGGGGAATTGCGGGTACTGGAGAGTGCGAAAAAGGACAACGCCATAATCTGATGAAAATAATGACAACGATATTAATAATAATAATAACAGATTCGTTTCCCAACTTGTAGGAAGCATGCATATTAAGGCATGTTCGGGTCGTTACAACCTGGACGCGGCGGGGAGGTACGACCAACAAGGCATGTTTACTACATGTAAAGTCATCGCAGTCGCAGGAAGCGAGAAGAACAAGGACAATGGGCATGAAGTCCTACTAGTTAAAAATGAAGCCAGCTGACGTGAACTAAAAGTGGGAACCGTTGCTAGCCATGAATTATTTTGGGCGGATGAGCAAATGGCAAGAGTCACGACAAGAAAAGATGGGGATGGAGTAATTTGGAGTAGAAGCGAATGGCAAGTTTTTTCTCTCACTGGTGCCACTATTTTAGGGAAGTCAGTGCAGGGGATGGGTTCGACGGGGAGACAGCGCCGATGCACGGAACAAAACGAACACCGCATATAGAAGTGAACTTGTGGAAGGGGTAAACGTAAATTGATGCAGAAATTTAGGTTGGTCAAGTCCGAAAGTTTCCTCACGTTAGAATGAACTCGTTCCAGAGACGGTTGGGGCAAGGGGAAAAATTTGCCCATATTTGCAATGGCAGGCTCCCGTAAGGCGAAATTGCGGTCGAAATGCTGAAGCACATAGTTGCGGGAGTGCCAAAACATTGAGTGTGTAAGTGCGATGCAATCGTCGCACTGACACACTTCGGTTTGTGGACAGCCCCGTAACGGTCGTCATGGATACCGTCGAGAATGCCGTAGCTGCTGGATCTAGGCTGGGCGAAAGATTGACCGGGCCGGTGCAGAGTCACGGATAATTTCCCCCCGGTTGAGAGAATAACGGTTGTACTGGGCGTTTCCGCAACTGCGGCCCAAGTTTGAAGCTGGAGAAAAGGGGGATGATGAAGGGATGGGACGGGAGCAGTATCGTCTGGTGAGTTCCAGGAGGCATCAGAAAAAACGGCA